CCCAATCACGGCACCACGGGCCTGGAGTTGGCATGTGTCTTCCTGAGTTTCCTCTGGGTCCTCCCACATTCCAAAGACATGCTGGTAGGTGAATTGCTCCTGTCTAAATTGGCCCCTAGTATGTGTATGTATGAATGTGAGTTAGGGATCTTAGATTGTACGCTCCTCGGGGGCGGGGGGACTGATGTGACTGTACAATATATCTGAAATAAACAAATAAATATTACGATGGTGCAATCCATGAATAAAAATGTTCCTCGAGGAGCCACAGGACAAAACAAGCATTGCAATAAGTAGTAGACCAGCTATTCATAACAAGGGTTCTTCAGCCTGCTAGGGTTCCACCAAGGGCTACCAAGGGTTCCTTGATGGTGCCTGTGGTGGGCAGAAGCAACTGCATGACATTGGTGTGGAGCCATTCCACTTGTTACTCCAACACTCCCTCCTCCTCCTCCAAAAACTCCATTTCCATGGCCTACGGCACTGTGCTCTTCGCTGGTTCTCATCTTACCTATCTCACCGCACCTTCAGAGTCCACTTATGACTCTACTTCTTCTTCTCCAATTCCTTTCATCGTTGGGGTCCCCCACGTTTCTTTCCTTGGACCTCTCGCTCGCTTATTCTCGATCTATACCTCCTTCCCTGATAGCTTCCCATGGCTTCCAATACCACTTCTATGAGGATGACACCCAAATCCATCTTTCCACCCCTTAGCTATTCATAACCAGGGTTCTCCAGCCTGCTAGGGTTCCATCAAGGATTCCTTGATGGTGCCTGTGGTGGGACCAATGTCACTTGGCAGAAGCAACTGTATAACCAGGGTTCTCCAGCCTGCTAGGGTTCCACCAAGAGTTCCTTGATGGCGCCTGTGGTGGGCAGAAGTATCTCCATTAAGCAACTGCATGACATTGGTGGAGCCATTCCACTTGTTACTCCAACACTCCCTCCTCCTCCAAAAACTCCATTTCCATGGCCTCCGGCACTGTGCTCTTCGCTGGTTCTCATCTCTACCTATCTCACCGCACCTTCAGAGTCACTTATGACTCTACTTCCTCTTCTCCCATTCCTTTCATCATCGGGGGTCCCTCAAGTTTCTGTCCTTGGACCTCTCTTATTCTCGATCTATACCTCCTTCCCTGATAGCTTCCCATGGCTTCCAATACCACTTCTATGAGGATGACACCCAAATCCATCTTTCCACCCCTTAGCTATTCATAACCAGGGTTCTCCAGCCTGCTAGGGTTCCACCAAGGGTTCCGTGATGGCGCCTGTGGTGGGCAGAAGCAACTGCATGACATTGGTGGAGCCATTCCACTTGTTACTCCAACACTCCCTCCTCCTCCAAAAACTCTATTTCCTTGGCCTCCGGCACTGTGCTCTTCTCTGGTTCTCATCTTACCTATCTCACCGCACCTTCAGAGTCACTTATGACTCTACTTCCTCTTCTCCAATTCCTTTCATCGTCAGGATCCCCCAAGTTTCTGTCCTTGGACCTCTCTTATTCTCGATCTACACCTCCTTTCCTGATAGCTTCCAATGGCTTCCAATACCATTTCTATGCGGATGACACCCAAATCCATCTTTCCACCCCTTATCTATTCATAACCAGGGGTTCTTCAGCCTGCTAGGGTTCCACCAAGGGTTCCTTGATGGTGCCTGTGGTGGGACCAATGTCACTTGGCAGAAGCAACTGCATGACATTGGTGGAGCCTGCTAGGGTTCTACCAAGAGTTCCTTGATAGCACTGTGGTGGGACCAGTGTCACTTGGCAGAAGCAACTGCATGACATTGGTGGAGCCATTCCACTTGTTACTCCAACACTCCCTCCTCCTCCAAAAACTCCATTTCCATGGCCTCCGGCACTGTGCTCTTCTCTGGTTCTCATCATCTTACCTATCTCACCGCACCTTCAGAGTCACTTATGACTCTACTTCCTCTTCTCCAATTCCTTTCATCGTCGGGGTCCCCCACGTTTCTGTCTTTGGACCTCTCCTATTCTCAATCTATACCTCCTTCCCTGATAGCTTCCCATGGCTTCCAATACCATTTCTATGAGGATGACACCCAAATCCATCTTTCCACCCCTTAGCTCACACCCGTCAGTTTCCTCGCGTATCACCGATTTACTAACAGGTTAGACTGGATGTCACATCACGTCCTCAAAGTCGATCCGTCCAAAACTGAGCTCTTAACAATTCCTCCTTCATGTGTCCCTTCCTTTCGACTTCTCTGTCAAGATCGATGGCACAACCAGCGACCCGTCCCCGCATGCCAGGGTGCTAGGGGTAACCCTGGAGTCTGAACTGTCCTTTCAAGCCCACATCCAAATCCAGCGACTGGATTTTTCTTCTCTCCCTCCTCATTGGATGACCTTTACATAGGCCACCCCCCTCCAGTCCATCATGAATGCTTCTGCCAGACCCATCCACCTTACCAACCGTTCAGTGTCCTCCACCTCTCTCTGCCAATCCCTCCACTGACCTCCACTCAGTGTCCTCCACCCTCTCTCTGCCAATCCCTCCGCTGACCTCCACTCAGTGTCCTCCACCCCTCTCTGCCAATCCCTCCACTGACCTCCACTAAGTGTCCTCCGCCCCTCTCTGCCAATCCCTCCACTGACCTCCACTAAGTGTCCTCCACCCCTCTCTGCCAATCCCTCCACTGACCTCCACTCATTGTCCTCCGCCCCTCACTGCCAATCCCTCCACTGACCTCCACTAAGTGTCCTCCGCCCCTCTCTGCCAATCCCTCCACTGACCTCCACTCAGTGTCCTCCTCCCCTCTCTGCCAATCCCTCCACTGACCTCCACTCAGTGTCCTCCACCCCCTCTCTGCCAATCCCTCCACTGACCTCCACTAAGTGTCCTCATCCCCCTCTCTGCCAATCCCTCCACTGACCTCCACTAAGTGTCCTCCACCCCTCTCTGCCAGTCCCCTCCACTGACCTCCACTAAGTGTCCTCCACCCCTCTCTGCCAATCCCTCCACTGGCCTCCACTCAGTGTCCTCCACCCCCCCCTCTGCCAATCCCTCCACTGGCCTCCACTCAGTGTCCTCCACCCCCCTCTGCCAATCCCTCCACTGACCTCCACTCAGTGTCCTCCAACCCTCTCTGCCAATCCCTCCACTGACCCCCACTCAGTGTCCTCCACCCCTCTCTGCCAATCCCTCCACTGACCCCCACTCATTGTCCTCCACGCCCCTCTCTGCCAATCCCTCCACTGGCCTCCACTAAGTGTCCTCCACCCCTCTCTGCCAATCCCTCCACTGACCTCCACTCAGTGTCCTCCACCCCTCTCTGCCAATCCCTCCACTGACCTCCACTAAGTGTCCTCCACCCCTCTCTGCCAATCCCTCCACTGGCCTCCACTCAGTGTCCTCCACCCCTCTCTGCCAAATCCGTCCACTGACCTCCACTTCAGTGTCCTCCATTCCCCTCTCTCTGCCAATCCCTCCACTGGCCTCCATTCAGTGTCCTCCACCCCTCTCTGCCAATCCCTCCACTGGCCTCCATTCAGTGTTCTCCACCCCTCTCTGCAAATCCCTCCACTGGCCTCCATTCTAAGTGTCCTTCACCCCTCTCTGCCAATCCCTCCACTGACCTGCACTCAGTGTCCTCCCACCCTCTCTGCCAATCCCTCCACTGACCTCCACTCAGTGTCCTCCACCCCTCTCTGCCAATCCCTCCACTGGGCTCCACTAATTGTCTTCCACGTCTCTGCCAATCCTCCATTGGCCTCCACTTCAGTGTCCTCCACCCCTCTCTGCCAATCCCTCCACTGGTTTCATACAGTGTCCTCCACCCTTCTCTGCCAATCCCTCCACTGACCTCACTCAGTGTCCTCCACCCCTCTCTGCCAATCCCTCCACTGGCCTCCACTCAGTGTCCTCCACCCCCCTCTGCCAATCCCTCCACTGACCTCCACTCAGTGTCCTCCACCCCTCTCTGCCAATCCCTCCACTGGCCTCCATTCAGTGTCCTCCACCCCTCTCTGCCAATCCCTCCACTGGGCTCTCCACTCAGTGTCTCCACCCCTCTCTGCCAATTCCTCCACTGACCTCCACAGTGTCCTTCTCCCCTCTCTGCTACCAATCCCTCCACTGGACCTCCATTAAGTGTGTCTCTCATCCCCTCTCTGCCAATCCATCCTCCACTGACCTCCACTCAGTGTCCTCCACCCCTCTCTGCCAATCCCTCCACTGACCTCCACTCAGTGTCCTCCACCCCTCTCTGCCAATCCCTCCACTGGCCTCCACTCAGTGTCCTCCACCCCTCTCTGCCAATCCCGTCCACTGACCTCCATTCAGTGTCCTCCACCCCTCTCTGCCAATCCCTCCACTGGCCTCCATTCAGTGTCCTCCACCCCTCTCTGCCAATCCCTCCACTGGGTCTCCACTAAGTGTTCCTCCACCCCTCTCTGCCAAATCCCTCCACTGACCTCCACTCAAGTGTCCTCCACCCCTCTCTGCCAATCCCTCCACTGACCTCCACTAAGTGTCCTCCACCCCTCTCTGCCAATTCCTCCACTGGCCTCCACTCATTGTCCTCCACCCCGTCTCTGCCAATCCCTCCATTGGCCTCCACTTAGTGTCCTCCACCCCTCTCTGCCAAGCCCTCCACTGGCCTTCACTCAGTGTCCTCCACCCCTCTCTGCCAATCCCTCCACTGGCCTCCACTCAGTGTCCTCCACCCCTCTCTGCCAATCCCTCCACTGGCCTCCATTCAGTGTGTCCTCCCCCCTCTCTGCCAATCCCTCCACTGGCCTCCATTCAGTGTCCTCCACCCCTCTCTGCCTGCCAATCCCTCCACTGGCCTCCACTCAGTGTCCTCCACCCTCTCTGCCAATCCCTCCACTGACCTCCACTCAGTGTCCTCCACCCCTCTCTGCCAATCCCTCCACTGACCTCCACTCAGTGTCCTCCATCCCCCTCTCTGCCAATCCCTCCACTGATGGCCTCCACTCAGTGTCCTCCACCCCCTCTCTGCCAATCCCTCCACTGCCTCCACTCAGTGTCCTCCACCCCTCTCTGCCAATCCCTCCACTGGCCTCCACTCAGTGTCCTCCACCCCTCTCTGCCAATCCCTCCACTGACCTCCACTCAGTGTCCTCCACCCCTCTCTCCCAATCCCTCCACTGGCCTCCATTCAGTGTCCTCCACCCCTCTCTGCCAATCCCTCCACTGGCCTCCACTCAGTGTCCTCCACCCCTCTCTGCCAATCCCTCCACTGACCTCCACTCAGTGTCCTCCACCCCTCTCTGCCAATCCCTCCACTGGCCTCCATTCAGTGTCCTCCACCCTCTCTGCCAATCCCTCCACTGCCTCCACTCAGTGTCCTCCACCCCTCTCTGCCAATCCCTCCACTGACCTCCATTAAGTGTCCTCCACCCCTCTCTGCCAATCCCTCCACTGGCTTCCACTCAGTGTCCTCCACCCGTCTCTGCCAATCCTTCCATTGGCCTCCACTTCAGTGTCCTCCACCCCTCTCTGCCAATCCCTCCACTGGCCTCCATTCAGTGTCCTCCACCCCTCTCTGCCAAGTCCCTCCACTGACCTCCATTCAGTGTCCTCCACCCCTCTCTGCCAATCCCTCCACTGGCCTCCATTCAGTGTCCTCCACCCCTCCACCCCTCTCTGCCATCAGTGTCCCTCCACTGGTCTCCACTAAGTGTTCTCCACCCCTCTCTGCCAATTCCTCCACTGACCTCCACTAAGTGTCCTTCACCCCTCTCTGCCAATCCCTCCACTGACCTCCACTAAGTGTCCTCCACCCCTCTCTGCCAATCCCTCCACTGACCTCCACAGTGTCCTCCACCCCTCTCTGCCAATTCCTCCACTGGCTTCCACTAATTGTCTCAACACGTCTCTGCCAATCCCTCCATTGGCCTCCACTTATTGTCCTCCACCCCCCTCTCTGCCAATCCCTCCACTGGTTTCTGATTACAATGTCCTCCACCCCTCTCTGCCAAGTCCCTCCACTGACCTCCACTAAGTGTCCCTCCACCCCTCTCTGCCAATCCCTCCACTGAACTCCACTCAGTGTCCTCCACCCCTCTCTGCCAATCCCTCCACTGACCTCCACTAAGTGTCCTCCTCGCCCCTCTCTGCCAATCCCTCCACTGGCCTCCACTAAGTGTCCTCCACCCCTCTCTGCCAGTCCCTCCACTGACCCCCACTAAGTGTCCTCCACCCCCTCTCTGCCAAATCCCTCCACTGGCCTCCACTCAGTGTCCTCCACCCCTCTCTGCCAATCCCTCCACTGGCCTCCACTCAGTGTCCTCCACCCCCCCCCTCTGCCAATCCCTCCACTGACCTCCACTCAGTGTCCTCCACCCCTCTCTGCCAATCCCTCCACTGACCCTCCACTCAGTGTCCTCCAACCCTCTCTGCCAATCCCTCCACTGACCCCCACTCATTGTCCTCCGCCCCTCTCTGCCCACTCTCCTCCACTGACCTCCACTCAGTGTCCTCCACCCTCTCTGCCAATCCCTCCACTGCCTCCACTCAGTGTCCTCCACCCCTCTCTGCCAGTCCCTCCACTGACCTCCACTAAGTGTCCTCCACCCCCTCTCTGCCAATCCCTCCACTGGCCTCCACTCAGTGTCCTCCACCCCTCTCTGCCAATCCTTCCACTGACCTCCACTAAGTGTCCTCCACCCCTCTCTGCCAATCCCTCCACTGACCTCCACTCAGTGTCCTCCACCCCTCTCTGCCAATCCCTCCACTGACCTCCACTCAGTGTCCTCCACCCCTCTCTGCCAGTCCCTCCACTGACCTCCACTAAGTGTCCTCCACCCCTCTCTGCCAATCCCTCCACTGGCCTCCACTCAGTGTCCTCCACCCCCCTCTGCCAATCCCTCCACTGGACCTCCACTAAGTGTCCTCCACCCCTCTCTGCCAATCCCCCTCCACTGGCCTCCATTCAGTGTCCTCCACCCCTCTCTGCCAATCCCTCCACTGGCCTCCACTCAGTGTTCTCCACCCCTCTCTGCCAATTCCTCCACTGACCTCCACTAAGTGTCCTTCACCCCTCTCTACCCAATCCCTCCACTGACCTCCACTAAGTGTCCTCCACCCTCTCTGCCAATCCCTCCACTGACCTCCACTAAGTGTCCTCCACCCCTCTCTGCCAATCCCCTCCACTGGCTTCCACTAATTGTCCTTCAACACGTCTCTGCCAATCCTTCCATTGGCCTCCACTTATTGTCCTCCACCCCTCTCTGCCAATCCCTCCACTGGCCTCCATTCAGTGTCCTCCACCCCTCTCTGCCAGTCCCTCCACTGAACTCCACTCAGTGTCCTCCATCCCTCTCTGCCAATCCCTCCACTGACCTCCACTCAGTGTCCTCCACCCCCCTCTGCCAATCCCTTCACTGGCCTCCATTCAGTGTCCTCCACCCCTCTCTGCCAATCCCTCCACTGGCCTCCACTCAGTGTCCTCCACCCCTCTCTGCCAATCCCTCCACTGGCCTCCACTCAGTGTCCTCCACCCCTCTCTGCCAATCCCTCCACTGGCCTCCACTCAGTGTCCTCCGCCCCCCTCTGCCAATCCCTCCACCGACCTCCACTCAGTGTCCTCCACCCCCCTCTGCCAATCCCTCCACTGGCTTCCGATTGCCCAACGGATCAGATTCAAAATCCTAACACTGACGCCTAAAAAAACGCTGGCAGATGCTAAAAAAACACGCCTATATTTATGAGCGTTTTTGAGCCTCAAGATTTTAAGGAAGCGTAGTTTTGCTAAAAAGCGCAAACGCTAAACAAACGCTAAAAAAAAAAATGTGGCTACATTTATGAGCGTTTTTGACCCTCAATCTCTCGTATAGTTTTGTTAAAAAGCACAAACTCTGAAAAACGGTAAAAAATGCTAAAAGTCACGGCTACATTTATGAGTGTTTTTGAGCCTCAAGCTCTTGCGGTAATATAGTTTAAAGCGCAAACGCTGAAAAACGGTAAAAAACGCTAAAAAATGTGGATGTGTTTATGAGCGTTTCTGACTCTCAAGCATTTGCAGGAGTTTAGTTTTGCTGAAAGGCGCAAACGCTGAAAAAACGCTAAAAAATGCGGCTACGTTTATGAGCGTTTTTGAGCCTCAAGCATTTGCGGGAGTATAGTTTTGCTAAAAAGCGCAAACGCTGAAAAACGCTAAAAGATGTGAAAGAGTGGAAAAAATTTCAGCTACGTTTATGAGCGTTTTTGAGCCTCAAGCTCTTGCGGTAATATAGTTTAAAGCGCAAACGCTGAAAAACGTTAAAAAAGTAGTTGCATCTATAAGCGTTTTTTGGAAAACGCAAGAAAAACACTAAAAAATGCTAAATATTGCGGCTACGTTTATGAGGCTCAAGCTTTTATGGGAGTTTAGTTTTGCTAAAAAGCGCAAACGCAAAAAAAAACGTGGTGCGGGAAACGCTGCAAATCCTGGTAGTTTTCCCCACCGCATTGCAATCCGTGCCCTTACTTCAAATGGCCGCAGCTAGAAATGTCAGGGGGGGTGTTTATTCAAAGTGATTTCCCAAGTAAAGAAAGCATGGAGACATGGATGGATGGATGGATGGATGGATGGGGGAGATTGCTCTGCATGCCTGAGCTAAGGGCAGATGGATTCCAGAAAGTAAATGCTACATGAATCATCTGCCCTTACTCAAAATGGCTACACATGTCAGGGGGGGGGTGTTTATTCAAAGTGATTTCCCAACTAAAGAAAGCATGGAGACATGGATGGATGGATTGATGGGCGGATGGATGGATGGATTGATGGGCGGATGGATGGATTGATGGGCGGATGGATGGATTGATGGGCGGATGGATGGATGGATGGAATGGATGGATGGATGGGCGGATTGATGGGGGTGGATGGATGGATGGGTGGATGGATTGATGGGTGGATGGATGGGGTGGATGGATTTATGGGTGGATGGATGGATTGATGGGCGGATGGATGGATTGATGGGCGGATGGATTGATGGATGGATGGATGGATGGATTGGTGGATGGATGGATGGGTGGATGGATTGATGGGTGGATGGATGGATTGATGGGCGGATGGATGGATTGGTGGATGGGTGGATGGATTGATGGGTGGATGGTGGATGGATGGATGGATGGATGATGGGTGGATGGATTGATGGGTGGATGGATGGTGGATGGATTGATGGGTGGATGATGGATGGGTGGATGGATGAATGGCGGATTGATGGGTGGATGGATGGGTGGATGGATGGATTGATGGTGGATGGATGGATGGGTGGATGGATTGATGATGATGGATGGATTGATGGGTGGATGGATGGATGGGTGGATGGATTGATGGGTGGATGGATGGTGGATGGATTGATGGGTGGATGGATGGATGGGTGGATGGATTGATGGGTGGATGGATGGGTGGATGGATTGATGGGTGATGGATTGATGGGTGGATGGATGGGTGGATGGATTGATGGTGGATGGATGGATGGGCGGATTGATGGATGGGCGGATTGATGGGTGGATGGATTGATGGGTGGATGGATGGATGGGTGGATGGATGGATGGGTGGATTGATGGGTGGATGGATGGATGGGTGGATGGATGGATTGATGGGTGGATGGATGGGTGGATGGATTGATGGGTGGATGGATGGATGGGTGGATGGATGGATTGATGGGTGGATGGATGGGTGGATGGATTGATGGGTGGATGATGGATGGATGGGTGGATGGATGGATTGGTGGCGGATGGATGGGTGGATGGATGGATGGATAGGTGGATGGATTGATGGGTGGATGGATGGATGGGTGGATTGATGGGCTGGATGGATGGATGGATGGGTGGATGGATGGATGGGTGGATGGATTGATGGGTGGATGGATGGGTGGATGGATGGGCGGATGGATGGATGGGTGGATGGATGGATTGATGGGCAGATTGGTGGGCGGATGGATGGATGGTGGATTGGTGGGCGGATGGATGGGTGGATGGATGGATGGATGGATTGATGGGCGGATTGGTGGGCGGATGGATGGATGGGGGAGAATGCTTTGAATATTAAAAATTAATGAAATTGTTTTTGCGTTTTTGATGCGTTTGTTCCCCCAACTTGTTGCTAGGCAGATTAAAACTCAAAACGCATAAAAAAAAAACTTAATACGTGCTTTTTTCAGCAGCGTCTCCATTGAAGTCTACACAACCAAAAACGCAACGTTCTGCGTTTATAAAAGTCCTCGACCCTTTCAAAAAAAAACGCAGCGGGGTGAAAACACGGAGATGTGAACCCGGGACAGGTAGGAAATCAGGTTAAATGGACTGCTGTGCGTTTGCGCCAAACACAGCAGAAAGTGTATAGGTGTGAACCTAGACCCATAGAAACGCAGTCCAGGTGCGTTCCAGATGCCTTTCTGCATGCGCGGTTTTTATGCATTCTGATGCGTTTTTTAATGCATTCCAGTTTATTTTTCCCTTCTCATTTTATTCAATTAAAAAAGGGACAGGTGCGTTGCGGTGCGTTTTACCGCGTTCCAGTGCAGTTCTGTGCGCTGGAACACTTTTTTTAAGCGTTCCAGTGCGTTTTCTATGCGTTTTTTTACACGTTCCAGTGCATTTTTTTATACTTTTTTATGCATTTTTAATGCGTTTTTGTCTGCGTTTCAGTGCATTTTTTATGCATTTTTGTTAAACGTTCCAGTGCGTTTTTTTATGCTTTTTTTTTACACTTTTCAGTGCGTTTTTAATGCATTCAAGTTAATTTTTCCCTTCACTTTTTTATTTAATTAAAAATGGACAGGTGCCTTCCGGTGCGTTTTTCATGTGCTTTACCATGTTCCAGTGCAGTTCTGCGCACTGGAATACGTTTTTTTTTTTACGCGTTCCAGTGCGTTTTTGTGTGCTTTTTAATGCATTCCAGTTCCTTTTTCCGTTATCTTTTTCTACAATTAAAAAAGGGACAGGTGTGTTCCAGTGCGTTTTTGATGCATTTTACCGCGTTCCAGTGCAGTTCTGTGCACTGGAACGCTTTTTTTTAAGCGTTCCAGTGTGTTTTTTGTGTTTTTTGATGCGTTCCAGTGTGTTTTTTATGCTTTTTTAAGCATTGCAGTGCATTTTTTATGCTTCTTTATGTGTTTCAATGCGTTTTTTATGCGTATTTTTACGTGTTTCAGTGTTTTTTGTGCGTTTTTTATGCGTTTTTTTGACTTTTTTGATGCGTTCCAGTTAATTTTTCCCTTCTATTTTTATTCAATTAAAAAAGGGACAGGTATATTCTGGTGCGTTTTTGATGTGATGTGTTTTACTGCATTCCAGTACTTTTTTTTTATGCGGTTTTTGACACAATCCAGTGCGTTTTTTTTATGTTTTTTTTACGCGTTTCAGTGCGTTTTTAATGCGTTTTTTTTTTCACGTTCCAGTGCGTTTTTAATGCATTTTTCCCTTATCCCTTATCTTTTTCTACAATTCAAAAAGGGAAAGGTGCGTTCTGGTGCGTTTTTGATGCATTTTACCGCGTTTCAGTGCAGTTCTTTTTTTTAAGCGTTCCAGTGCATTTTTATTTTTTTTGACGCGTTTCAGTTTTTTATGCTTTTTTCGCGTTTCAGTGCATTTTTTATGCTTCTTTTACGGGTTTCAGTGTGTTTTTTATGCCTTTTTTGACCCATTCCAGTGCGTTTTTATGCGTTTTTTTTTACGTGTTTCAGTGCGTTTTTTATGCTTTGACGTGTTTCAGTGCGTTTTTTTTTTTATGCTTTTTTGACCCATTCCAGTGTGTTTTTTATGCGTTTTTGATGTGTTTCAGTAAATTTTTCCTTCTATTTTAATTAATTAAAAAAGGAACAGATATATTCTGTTGCGTTTTTGATGTGTTTTACCTCGTTCCAGTGCGTTTTTTTTTTTTTTAGG